GCCTCATTTTTTTTGGCCGAGCTTTGCTTGGCTTGACTCGGGCCCAAAAAAGCTCGGCCTAAAAAAGCTCGAGCAGAGTCCGAGCTTTTTTTTTGGGTTCGGCTCGGCTAGTTGACATAGCTAGATAAAACGACAATTTTTTAATGGCATTTTTGGAAGATTCTTATGAAAGAATAGTAAACCTTTAAGAATACTATGTGACATATGTTGATTGGGTGTGGACAAGTATTATGCCTATTAGATTGTTCGAGACTGATCAAAGAATAATGCTATTTGTAGTCGATCACTATCTTAGTCGTCCTATGTGGTATACATGTGGTGATTAATAATTTGATGCATAAGACAATAAAAAAAAATACCACATTAATATATCAAATCACTAATTTTTACATGTATACTACTTAGGATGACTACAATCATTTGCAACAACAAATAGTATTACACTCGTTAAAATGCTGGAAATACACCCCAACTGCCACATTTGACAGGCCATTTTCTCTACAAAATAGGGCTTGATTAAATTGAGGATTTAGTGAAATACTTGTAATCCATTTGTTTCATCGGTGGTATTTTTCGTCCATTTCGGATAAGCTCTGATGGTTTCTGTTGTAACTTTTATAAACCATCATAATTTAGCCCCTGTTTGGTTTGGATTAAAATCAAATTAAAATTTCAAGTTAAAAGTAACAACTAATTTTAATCATACATGAAACCTACAACTTTTCAAATACACATCACTTTTATAAAAATCTACACCAAATAGGGGCTTAGTTCATATAGATACGAAACTTGGATTGTATCCCTAAAGAATTAAAGTTTGACATTCCTAGTGATACCATGAAATGAATACACAATGAGAAATCAGTTTTTGATATACAGTGCAATTTCATGGAACATTATGAATCATGAATATGTTGGAGAATGGATCCTGTAGGACAATAATTGGAGAATCAAAGTATATTAATCAAACCGACGGCCCATGTTTACACGGTTTCCTTAAATCGAATTCCCCACCTCACCGGAGTGCAAGAGGTTTGATTAGTGTTCTATTCCAAGGATACAATCGGTTGTTG